GTCCTTCCTGTGTATATTTTTCAATTGAATATGTTGTAAGCAACTGCAAAAATGACACCACAGCTGCTTCTTCAATAAAAATGGAACTCGCAAATATACTTACCTTGTCAATGGTCATTTGCAAAATTATTTTGTTAAAAAGCATACACAAGTACTCTGAAGTTGATATTAAAAAGATGCTTGAGTTTCTGATAGACAATATCTATGTAGTTTTTTGAGATCAGGTCTTTCAACAATCTATTGTAATTCCCATGGGTACCAACTGCGCTAAACAAAAGATCTATTTTTGTATTCATATGAAGCAGAATTTATTCAAAAACTTCTACATGGGAACAGTATTTAAGCTCAAAGTCCATTTAGTCTATATAAATCGGAAGAAGAGCAAACACGGACCTCTTCCAAAGGTGGGATCAGGTGCCTTAGGGAGTGAACACCCCCCTGCCGAAAGTTCATACCCGCCGTGTGCTCCTTATTATGTGGTCTTCAACTCAAAATTTAGATCGACGACGTATTATTATTTAACATAGTTACTTTCCTTTGTATGTCGTCGACTCGATATATCTCAGTGAGTTTCTGATCGACAATATCTATGTGGTTTTTGGAGACCAGATCTTCCAACAATCTATTGGAATTTTCATGGGTACCAATTGAGCCCTGTTATAAGCAGACCTATTCTTGTATTCATATGAAGCAGAATTTGATCAAAATCTTATATGCGAAAAGAAGAAAACACTTGCCGTTGCCTTCAACTCGACATTTAGATATATCGACGACGTGTTGTCAATTAACAATGGTTATTTTCATTCTTATGTTGACACGATATATCCAGGTCAGCTTGAAATAAAAGATACCACAGATTCTGACACTTTTGTTTCATATTTGGATATTTTACAAGAAAAAAGACGTTAATGGCAATCTAACAACAAAGCTATATGATAAAAGTGATGACATTAACTTTTCAATCGTCAGCTTCCTTACTTATGCAGCAATATACCCTTATCACTTGCATACGGGGTTTATATCTCTCAGTTGATTCGATACGCAAGGGCATGCTCTACGTATGAACAATTTCTAAAACAAGGTAGGTTATTGACAAACAAGTTGATTAAACAAGAATATCAACAGTCTCGTTTAAAGTCATCTTTTTGCAAGTTCTATGGTCGATACAATGACCTTGTCAGCAAATACAATCTATCATTAAGTCAAATGCTGACTGACGTTTTTCATACTAATTGTTAGGCCATTATTTTCACACTGAATTGTCTACGGGTTTTTTCGTTATTCCCCGATCGTGACAAGGAGCACATGGCGGGTGTAACCTGTCGGCAGAGGATGCTCACTCTTCCATGGCACCTCTGATATTTTAGAGGTCCATGTTTGCTCTGCTCCTGATTTGTATTGTTTAATGGACATTTGAGCTTGAATACTGTTCGTTATCTCCATATATTTCATTCAGTCAAATATCACAGAGAAAGTTAAACACATCAAAATACACTTATCTCAAGAATTTCCAGGAATTGTTTATAGCAAACAACGACCAAAAAATTTCAAACTGCAAAATCATACGAACATTTACCAAAACAACTGATACAAGAAGAACAGAGCTTTGGATACGGACATTATATTAAAATCAACCCAGAACTGATATTTTTGCAAATTTAAGTGTACGTTATTTATATATAATTTATGTCTTTTCATTTGTGTTGCTTGTATATATTTCATTTTTACCTGCTTTTCAAGAACCCACTAGTCTTGTTAAAAAATATTTTACTGCCTAGAAATGTAACAAATAGGATAAGGGTTCTTAATTTTTATGCCCCTGTTATCCAAGATTCGGGACAGTTTTTGCTCTGTCCGTCCGTCTAGTTATATATCTGTTTGTCTGCAAAAATATTAACATTACCCATAACTTTTGATTGGTTGGAACTATGGCTTTCATATTTCACACGTGTATTCCTTGTAAGAAGACCTTTCTTTTGGTACCAACATACTTGAGCTTGGAGTTTGATCCACTTTTGCAATTTTTACCCAACTTTAAACTTGGCCTTGACTTTTGAATGGTTGGTGCTAGGACTTTTATACTTCAATGCGCTTTTTTTTTCTTGTGACAAGGCCTTTCCTTGGGTAGCAACAGTTTTGACCTCTTGACTTTAACATTGGAGTTTGACTCACTTTTGAACTTTAACTTTGGCTATAACTTTTGAACGGTTAGTGCTAGAGCTTTCATATTTCACAAGTGTATGTCTTGAGACAAGACCTTCCCTTGGGTACCAACAATTTTGACCCTTTGACCTTGAGCTTGGAGTTTGACCTACTTTTGAAACACTTCAACCTTAGGAATAATTTTTGAACAACTGGTGCTAGGGCTTTCATATTCACGTGTATTCCTTGTGAAAATTCCTTGTTTATGTAGGGAGAATTTTGAACCTTTAGCATGGAGTTTGAACTACTTTTGAAATGCTTCAACCTTGACCATAACTTTTGAATGGCTGGTGCTAGGTCTTACATATTTCACATGTGTATTTCTTGTGGCAAGACCTTCCCTTTGGTACCATTAATTTTTACCCTTTAACCTTGAGCTTGGAGTTTGACCGACTTTTGAAAAACTTAAATCTTTGCCATAATTTTCCAACGGTTGGTGCTAGGGCTTTCATGTTTCACAGGTGTATTTCTTGTGACAAACCTTTCTTTGGGTACTGACATTTTTTATCTCTTGACCTTGATAATAGAGTTCGACTTCCATTTGAAAAACTTTAACATTAGCCATGAGCTGCCTACGGGGGCATCAGTGTTTCACAAACACAACTTGTTTTGTACTTATTATGTTTAGCAAACATTAACATATCGGAATTACAGTGAAATTAATCAATGTAAAGGAGAGCAATAAATCCATTATTGCAATGAATTTTATGTATGAGGCACATGTTTCGTGAGCACAATTATAAAAGAGTAATGGCTCAATTAAAACGAGGTGACTTTTTGTTTAAATGTTGAATAATTAAAAAAATAACAAGTGCTCATTCTCTACAGCATTTGGAGTGAATGAATTGACAATTTACCTAGGAATATCCGGTAATTAGCAGAAGCGCATTTTACCTTACAGGTACTTGGTAAAAATTTTGCAGACACTTTTCCCTACTTTGGCTCTTTCATCGACATATCTGACTAAATATCATGCCTTCTGACGTAATGATAACCAAATATGGGCAAAAATGCTCGTAGATCAGAGGTCATGTGAGAAGCAATAGGTTATGAAGGTATATATAAAAATACTTTTTTCCCAAAAAACATTGGCACAGTAGATATTAGAATTCCAAACTAAAATGGATACGATAACTATACAGACACAGAATCTTCAGTGCCTTTCAACCTGCAGAATTTATATATTTATATGGGTGGGAAAGATGGGCGAAAGGCACTCTAGATTTAAGTTCATTACATGTATTTGAAAGCCAAAGCTCCAGATCATTGGTTCTGATCATTGATATAACTATCACCCATTTCTATTAATAGATAACTCTTGTTAATTTGTGTCTCCTTGTTAACTGCGTGACATGGAGAACGGTTATAGAAAAACTATGATTATCATCATGCAGCTTGGTTGCTAAATGAACAAAATTTCGGAGTATACTGTATTTTAATAGATGACAAAATCCACTTAGCACCTGACCAATGGCTCAGGAGTCATGAAGTATATGGAGTATTACAAATGCTTACTCTAATCATTGAAACAATTTTCCTGTTGAAAATGCGAATGAATAGAAAATAAAGATGTTCACAAATGTAAATGTATTTCCAATATAGGACCAGCTAAGCCCCACCATTGATGCTGAACCATGGATCCGGGCCATGAATTTTACAGTGTCTGTAAAGGGTTCTGTACTGGTTATAATTATACAAACTGTTTTCCTACTATATGGCCACGAGTAAGAAGGTGGGAAATGCATTCTAAATATAAGACCATCTTGACTAAACTCTGGAACCTGAATCCAGAACCTAGAAACCATGAATTTCACAATTTTGATGAAGAGTTCATTTTTTTTAAATAATCAATTCAACAGTTTGAGAGCTTCTACTTACTAATTATAATCAGAAAGGCAGAAACTTTAAAATTCAAATTTTTGATTCCCCTCTCCTCTGTCTACACATGCTAAAAATCTCAAGTTTGTCGAACTGGTTCAGTTGTTCCATAGACGAAGCTGAGAATGTTCCTACAGGTACGTTTGAAATACGACTAACTTACGATAACAGTCATTGGTCACCTGTGTGACTAAGTCGATCAAATGAGTAAATGTTCAAGTATGAATATACATGATATCGTCTTTAATAGTCGAAGTACGTACAGTTTAGATTTAGAATTATAAAAAGTGAAATTTAATGCAAATTATGGGGGAAAAACCTGGAACAATGGAACTTAGACCCAGGACTCCTGGTGTAAAAGTATTGATCAACTGCATGCAGTTATGTCTGTTTCCTCTGAAATGTACCTGTAATGTCATGTACAGAAGTACCTCATTGTATACTGCACGCTTGCCTTCAACTTTCTGTTTTACATGTATCCCCATTTAATATCATTCTTGATTATCAACTGATCAAAGTCATCAGAATATACATATTCTCTCCTTTATGTTTTATGAAAATCCGTTGCTGTTTATCTAAAGCAACAACCTCAATTTACTTCTAAACCAGTTAGATCCAATTCTAAAAGCTAAATTTTAGAAGTGTTTCATGGCTCCTCCATCTTTGTAACTGATAATACTGTATTTCACGTACACTTTTTACCCACTTTATGTGAAAAAATATATACAGATACAAATATATACAATAAAACGTCTTTTCTGTTAATACGGAGTTAAGCAGTTGAAAATATTGCAGAGCCAGCTTAATTACACGGATTATGTATTTTTTCTGTAAATTTTGCAATTGTTCACCCCTCGTTTAAACAAAAAAAAAAAAAAAAAAAACAGTTCATTAGTGAAAGAGACATATTTATTCAACAAACATAAACAAGTAATAACACATTCCAGAAAAAATTATGCAGTTAATTCAGAAAACATTGTAATGAAAATATAATTAAAAAAGGTGTAATAAGACCACACTTTGATCTGTTTAAATCTTCCGCTGAATTGCCAGTGTTACATCCGGGTGTCTGGCAACATGACGTGCAGGAAACAGTGGTTACCCCAAAGTTCTTTGATCTACAACCGTAGTAGCATTCAGCAGCACACTCTCGTTTGATACTGGTCGTCAGGCCCATTACAGAAATTCGCTCCACCTAGCGGTTGAAATAAATGGATTTGTTTTAAACAGCTGTTAAAATGATCTTGTTCTTTTTTTTAATTTCGGTCACTGTGGGAAATTACGAGTAAGTTTGAATTTATGTTTACGAGTAGAAGTGACATCCGTCTATCGATAGAAAGACTTTTAATGACGAGGAGCTTTGTTCCGACAAATCAGTTAATTAATAAGTTATGGAAGAGCTCCGATGTTGCATTGAATAAAACCTGTCGACTTTGTTGGAAAAAGTAGCGAATGCTTACAAACTGTTCGACCAAATAAGTGATATCAGGGGAGGGGATTATCGGTTTGTCTTTTCTCACTTTTGTCCTCCAAAAACCTTTTTTTTTTTTTTTTTTTTTTTTTTTTTTTTTTTTTTTTTTTTTTGTTCTAATTAAGTTTTAAGATACAAAATTTGAGTTTCTTGTGGTTTAAACTCTTTGTCATATTGTAAAATTTTTTAATTTTTGTTTTGTGGTTTTGTATTTACCGCCACTCAAATTTTACAATATGACACAATATTCTGTCAGAGCTCTAATTTATAAATATAAATTTAGTTTTGTTTCTTCTTCAAAGTTGTTTCAGATTTAACTTTGATATGTTGAAATAAAATTTGATGCAATATTAATGTCCCCGCCTCTGGGAAAACGAGGAGATATTAAGTCTCATCCGTCTGTCAGTTTGTTCTGCCAGTCCGTTCGTCTAGCTGTCTGTACACCCGTCAGCCTGTCACAAAAACTTTAACCTTGGTCATAACTTTTGAATGAGAAAAAGACGGTGCCCTCATATTTCACATGTGCAATACCTGTGACAAGACCTTCAAAAATAAACTTTAATTTTGACCCCGTGACCTTGACCTACTTTTCAAAAATTTTAATAATGGTAATAATTTTTCAATGAGATAATTCATATTTGACATGTACATTACCTGAGACAAGTTCTTTTCAAATGTACTATGTTCTTGACCCTGTGACCTTGACCTTGAAGTTTGATCTACTTTTTTGAAGGAGAAAAGATAGGGTCATATTTGACATCTGCATTAACTGTGACAAGACCTTTCTGATTCATTTTTTTTTTATTTTGACCCTATGACCTTGACCTACTTTAAAAAATAATATTGGTGATAACTTTTGAATTAGGGAAAGTAAGGACATCCATCCTGTGAGAAGACTTCTCCAAGTGTACTATGAATGGATAATCCTATGACCTTGACCTTGAACGTTGACCTACTTTTCAGTGATTTTGATATCTGTGATAACTTTTGAATGAGATAAAATAGAACATTCATATTTATCAAGTTCTTCATTTGTTACAAGACCTTACCAAATGTAGCATTTTTTTTACATCGTGCCCTTAACTTTGAAGTTTAGCCTATATAGAAGTTTCAAAATATGTGCTGTCTATCACAGAGTATCCGCTTTTTCTTTTGCGAAATTCTGAATGAATAATTACTTCTTACTGTTAATCAAGATAATTTTGTGTTCAGGGATTCTTTAAATTTTTATTCTTAATTTCAATATAAAGTCAATATAACTGACCATCCGTTTAAAAGTATATATTCATCTAATTACTATTACATAAAGTTTATCACTTAACCATGCAACAGGGGTTTGACTTGGGACAGGGTATGCGTGGGTGTAGTAGGGCTCTGATTTGAGACAGGATATGCGGGAGTATTAGCTATCCCTTGAAGTAGGACTCTGACTGGAGATTTTATATGCGGGAATGTTAGGCTATCTCCTACAATGCGGTAGGGCTCTGACTTGAGACAGAATAGTGGGGGTGATAGACTGTCCCTTACCATGCTGTAGGGCTTTGATTTGAGACAGGATACGCTGGGGTGTTAGACTATTCCTTACAATGCAGTAGGGCTCTGACTTGAGAGGGATGTTAGGCGTAGTAGGGCTCTGAATTGTAATATAGTGAATACTGGGATGTTAGGCTTCCACTCAGCATGTAGTAGGTCTCTGACTTGAGACAGGATAAAGTGGTGAGAAGAAGACTATCCCTTACCATGCAGTAGGGCTCTGATTTGAGACAGAATAGTAGGGTACTAGGCTGTCCCTCACCATGCTGTAGGGCTCTGATTTGAGACAGAATAGTGGGGTACTAGGCTGTCCCTCACCATGCTGTAGAGCCTCTGATTTGAGACAGAATAGTGGGGGATGCCAAACTATCCCTTACCATGCAGTAGGGCTCTGACTTGAGACAGGGTATTTTCGGGGTGTTGTTAGGTTGTATCTGACAGATCGTGTAGGGGTCCCACTGTTTGAATGTCTCTTCGCATTTATGGCAGGATAAGTTTCCTATGTCTTCGTTGATAATTGTGGCACATTCTGATTCTGTTAAAAAAATATATATATACAATAACCAATATGGAAATTGTGTTTACTTTCCCAGAAAATTCTGCACAGGTAACGCATTTTATTTTGTATGTTTCAATAATGATTTTAAGGATGATACTTTTTCTACTTTTTTATACTTTTCTATTCATTCATTCTATAATTTAATTTCCCTTGCTTCAATTACTCGAGAATTTCTTGCTCAGATAAGGTGGTACCTCCATGGCACTTGATCCCACCTTTGTTTTCTGCGGTCTGTGTTGGGTCTGCTCATAATTTGTATTGTTAAAATGGACTATTTAGCATGATCACCTATTTGTTCTTTATCTTTATTTTTCATGAGAGTCACCTCTACTCAGTGATATGTATGCACATGTAGGTCAACTTTGATTTCGACCTTTTGAAATGGATCAACCATGTATTCTTTAAGTCAGCAAAGTATTAGTGGATATTTCAATGGAGCTGTATACTGGTGTGTCCTCACTCAAAATTTAAGGTCATTGAAATAGTTAAGTGAAAATTCTGCTACAGTAGCTGGTGGACTGAAAATCAATCCTTCTTCATCGCTCCGATGCCCATGTAATGACGAAATGAACAGTTTACGTAATACAGTCAAACCTCGTTATCTCGAACTCTAAGGGACCAAGGAAAAAACTTCGAGATATCCGAGGATTCGAGATATCAAGGGTAAAATACTCAAAGAATAAGTGGTTGGGACATGCAAATCACTTCGACATATCCATGGTATTCGAGATATCAGTGTTCGAGATAACGAAGTTCAACTGTAGTTGAATTTTTGCAAGATGTTTCTTAATTTTGGTTCTCAGTTCCCCCCCCCCCCCCAAAAAAAAAAAATTGCAGAATTTTGCCGTTCGAGCAAATTGGTAAAGAAATAAACTTTAGAGGTGCAAATTACATGTCCTTAAGCATGTTGGGTAATGCAAATATACATACTGGTATACTGAAAGTGAAGGTAATTACAATTATGTTATCTCGGTCTTTGACTTTAATTTTCATTTCTTCAACTGATGACACAAAATAAATTTGAAAAATCGCATTTTGTTGTCATTACTCTCATGGAATCTCTTTTTTATGTCTTATGACAAGAATAAGCAACCATAAAATTGAATCTCTAAACTCTATAAAAGGAATATCTTTTTTAACAAAAGCTTATTCTTTTAGAAATTACCAAACTTTTAAACCATTACTGATCCATATAATAATATCCTTATGTGTATGTCTTTGACAGTTGGGTTATGCAGGTTAAAGTTCTTTTGTTTCTCTGATAGATACTGTACTGATTCAGGGTTATTTTCGCCATATCACATGAAAACAATTTTGCCCCGTTTTAAATTCGCCCAGTACAATTCTGTTTAAGAAATTATACTTTTTTTTGGATTTGCTCCGGTTTAAATTCGTCCAATCGTGAGTAGGGCGAAAGGGGCGAAAATTTCCCTGTATACAGTAATCATTGCCAAGAACAACTTCAGCTCAACAGGGAGTAGAAAAATGTCTATGCTAACGATCCAGGGGCAAGTAATTTAATATCGGAGCTTCTAATCGTCTATATTGGTCTAACACAAAGTAACCTTGTCATTGGAATTAAAGGCACTGGTGAAAAACGGAAAGCGGTTGAAAACATCCCACGAGGAATAATCGAAGCAGCGGAAGAGCTGTCGGGTATGCTGAATGCTCGGCTGTTGAGATGCGATCGAATATTTCAAAATGGAATTTTATTGACAAGTCACTAAACTGGAATCTCTTTACTCTCAACAAATTGGTGTCTTTTTTTTATACTGTCAATAGGACCAGTCAAAATCGAGGACAATTAACCACGAAAAAAAAAAAAACAAGTATTGTATAATTTAGCATTTTAAACGTTGTTGGTAGGAGATCAGCCAAGGGCTTAGGGGGCAACCATTTGAATCTGGAAAGGGGGCAGGATTAGTAGATTTTAGTGACTCGGAAAATTTTGATAGCCCCCCCCCCCCCCCCGGATCAAATGGCCGTCCTCTTGTTGTAAATTCTCCGTCGTCAGTCCGTCTCCTGGCTGTTTTTCTAACACTTCGTCCTGAAACATTTTTTTTTCAAACGCTCATGAAGTTTTTGTCCGATTTCAATAAACCTCGGCATACAAATATAGACTTACTACACTTACCAGTTACATAATTCTGTGTTTAAAGCATTTTATTTCGATAAATGGTGTTGGCATGATAACAAAAAAAAAATCAAATTTCTTTGAAATTCTTTTACGCTCTTCTCCTTCTGTGTTGGTCCAATTTCAATAAATCTTCGTACAGTAGAAGACAATACTAAGATACACAATTTTCTTTGTTGTATGATTTGTCTGTGATTTTCTTTCAGACCACTACTTTTCTATTCGACTCTAAGTATGTATGTATACACCATGCAAGCTACTCTGTAGAGTTTTTTTTATTTCGCTGAACAATTAATGTTGCCATGGTAACTTTAGAAAAAATTGAATTCTTTCAAAATACTACCCCCTAAAGGTTTAGTCTGATTTCAGTAAAAATTGTTAAAAGGTTAGAAAACATACAGGGCTTTATCATTTCTTTAAATTTAGAACTAAGTGTTTTTTAAAGTCTAAGTGCAACTTTTGACTTCCACAGTGTCTCCTTAGAGACTGCAGGGTATTGAATATTTTTCATTTCCACGTCCACGTACAGCGGTTTGTATATTTGTTTATTGATGAAACTTGACATATTCGATATATGTGCACTATAGCTTCAATAAACTGCAAAGTGTAAAAAAAAAAATGAACACTTAAGAAATCATTTTTTACTCAATTGACGAGAAAAGAACTCACCTTGTACCGTAATTTAAATTATCACTTCGTGCGGATTTAAAGAAATTATGTGTGATTGTTCTCATACTTTGCAATCTTAATATTTTTTTTTTTTTAAAAACTTACCAACCAATAGAAAAGATTACTTGTTAAAAATAACAAGTGCACACTTGTGTAAGTAATTGAATACGACAGAAAAGGTCAAAAATGGGCGTTCACCCTTTCACTACCGGAATACATATAAATATATTCAATAAGTACATTCATATATATGAATGAACATACATATGAAATAAATTATACAAAAAAAAATAAATAAATAAAAATTACTTACCTTTGTTCTTAGTTATGTACATAAACATCAAAAGTATCCATGAATGAATCCGTGCTTCCATTTTGAACATTAGACATTGATCATCTTAGGTTAACTTATTCATCCTAACCTGTCCTATTTGTTAGAACACACTACAGTTGTATTAATCATATTCGTAGGATCTTCGATGTTTTGTACCCAGTCATGTACCCCATCCAACCACAGAATCCCGCCTGCTGTTATTGGTAATTAACGTGCGCTATCACAATTATTGCCAAAGCTTGCAGGCTACGGTTACAGAGAATCGATCAAAGATACCTGTCGGAAAAAGAAATTGATTTCAGGGTAAACACATTCTGCGATGTATAAATCCGTTTATTTGTTATCAAATACAGCAAGACACATCCAAGAATTTAAGGAAAAGGGCTGTTCATCTTACTTCATGCATTACATTATTGTCTTTATTATCACGCATTTCATAAACACGTACAATAACAGATTTGAATTACAGATTTTTATCTATAGTGAAGTATAACGGAACAAGCTGAAGTGTAATCCTGTTAAATTGTTAATATATATCCTTTGTCTACCTTTTCTACTGTGGATTTTGGTTGTTTGTTTTACGTCTCTTCGAGAATACTTTATAATAGATCAGTGTTCTCAGCACTTGTTGCCATTGAGGATTTAGGGATCTTTTCCGTGACAACATCTACTCCCAACTCAGTGTATCCGAAGGACCGGTTTCTACGTCCCGCAGAGGGATTCGAACCCGCGACAAAAGGATCAACTCCTTTCTCGGCGATTGTGAGCACTGCGCCACGTGAGCGATCTGGGACCCGATCTTTTGATTCCTAATATAAAGTATTAATTATCTTTTGATTCCTAATATATAGTGTTAATTATGGAATTCCATATACGACAGCCAACTGCTTACTGCCAAGTGCGCACTGCTTACTGCCAACTGTCTCTGCTTATAGATAATTTCTATTACCCATATACTGCCACTGCCAGCTGCTTACTGCCAACTGCCTCTGCTTATAGATAATATCTATTACCCATATACTGCCACTGTCAGCTGCTTACTGCCAGCTGCTTACTGCCAACTACCACAGATGATATTGCCTGTTTTGTTATCTTTAATACGCATACTTGGATAAATCCTATGATAGGAAGAACATTACAATAATAACAAAAATTGGCGGATGCAAGATTTTTTAAACGGAGAAATTAAGACTAGGAAGGAACATAGGCGTCAGAACCGGGGGGCTAGGGGGGCTTAGCCCCCCCCCCCCCACTTTCAATTAGCCATCCCACTTTTAATTTGCTTCCGACGCCTATGAGGAAGGAGTATTTTCTCTTAAATATAAAACATCTAATTCTCACATTTCCTTGCAGGCAAAAAATTAAATAGCTTTTTAGAGAGATTAAACGCTTATACATGTATAACGTCAGAAAAAGGGGGTAATTTTTTAGTAGGATCTTGGGTAGCATTTATTGGTATATGCATTCATACAGAAATACTAAGAAAAATCATAATACAAGGCATTTTCCTCTATGTAAAAACAGTTGACTTTATAGACAAGGAAGCAATTTCAGTGCGGGGGGGGGGGGGGCACAATTATGCAAAAGGATTCCTATGACAAGGTATAATAAAGGTCACAGGCGTCATTATTGAGGGAGCACCAATGAATATTATATGTTGTCAATTTATTGGGGACACACACCCCCAACCTATGTTTTTACATATCTAACATTAGCCATTAAATCGATTAGCTCAATGGGCTTTCGTACGATTTTAATAAGTCATATATAAAAATTCACAAATACAGGCACTTTTCATAGGGTAAAAAGAAAGCACTACACGACACGACATTGCTGTATATTTCACCGTGGGCAAAAGTTATGTTATTATAATTTCCAAGAATATTTCTAGTATAAATACATGTGCCAAAAAAGCAACCCAAGACCCTAGTAACAGTTTGTTTGTTTTTTGTTTTTTTTTTTTTTTTTTTTTGTTTTTCAAACCCCACCCACACTTAAACCCACCCACCCCCACCACGAGTCAAAAAAAGGTATTGATTTATTTGAAGAGAAAATTTGGGAATTCAATGTTTTTTAAGAGGAAATACTCCTTCCTATTTACTCCTTCCTCGCCTTCGCATTTTTATTATTGTAAGAACTACACACACTAACTCTCGATTCCCGCTTACATTTTACATCTAGTTAAATAATGTGATCACTTATCAGGATAAATTTTTAGATACATGCAATGGATGTAGGCAAGTATTTCTCTCCATAAAGAATTTGTTAATTTTCTTAATCATTACAGTTGGTGTATGGATGCACACTTTTGTTTCACAGATTTTTAAAAGTAGGTGGAAACTGGACATGAGACCAGAGGGGAGACCACAGCATTGTAATAAAGTTTTCTTCTTACAAATAGAAAAAACATTGTCAACACACATCGGGAATAAAATTAATAACGGTGGATAATTTTCAAAATTGATTCCATCAATGTGCTGTGGAAAGAAGTTCAAACCAGCTATCTTAAGCCAACAACCAAGATATGTCATATTTTCTTAAATAACGAAATTTAGACTTTTAAAAATTTGAAAGAATTATGATTAACTATGGAATTCCATATACGACAGCCAACTGCCTACTGCCAACTGCCCACTGCTTACAGCCAACTGCTCACTGCTTACTGCCAACTGCTCACTGCTTACATAATACTGCCTCTGCTTATAGATGATATTTCCTTTTTTTATCTTCATATCTTTAATTCGCATGCTTGAATAAATCCTATGTTAGCAAGAAATGAACGGCGAACGATAGTATTGTTCTGTCAAATACCTCCTAGTCAATTTTCATAAGTTAACATATTTGAATGATTTTTCATAATTATATAGATATTTATGTTAATTTTCATAAAATGTGATCTATTTGGGAAAACAAAGAGAGATAAGTCTTTAATTGGGTAAATCGTGTTTTACACTAAAGAAAATTATCATAGGAAAATGGAAATTTTATTTTCAAAACATCCCCCACAATAATTCCTTTTTCCTATTATGAATTGTTGTTTCACAGTTTCATACTAAAGGTTTTGTTGATTCACCAGGGGTGGGGTTGGGGATATATTTACAGACAAAAAAAATAAACAACAGAAAAATAGTTATTTTTTTAACAATTTCAAATGAGATCGAATAAAGAAAAGTACTTTATCAATCTGATATGTTGAATTTTACATAAGTTAAACATGCAGAGAGATTTAAGATTCATTTATCTATTTCCGTGAGTATTTGAAAATCTGGCGATGTTTTAAAGCCTGATTTCAATTGATAAAATTTTTACCACCTTATGAAAGGAGTTGTAAATAAGAACAAATAATTTTTTGACACTATTTGTTAAAATTATTAGTGTAATACTAATGACCTTTTCTGTGCATTCAAACAGGTTTTAATGTCCAAATTGTCATTTATATTGAATTAATACTAGTTACTGTAGAGATTCCTAAGTTATTGGGATCTGCAGACCACAGGCATTTCGTTTTAGTCGAACAGGTCCGTCACCACGATTCTGGAAAGGGAAATGGGGGGGGGGGGGGCTCAGAGGGACACTTCATCTCCTACACCACAAATAATGTTTACATTGTGAGTGCCATTTTGGTGGGTTGTGGTGCATTCTGTGAGGTTTTTTTCCGGAAATTAAGCAAATACAGTAAATCCATAAATAAATGTTTAAGTCAGAGCTTACAAGTAACATTGTAAGCTCTGACTTTAACATTTATATACTGTTTTTAGGTCATACGCAATGTACCTTCAAACGTACCTTATGCTCTGATAATTTTCCAAGATATAAAACATAGTACATTCAGATATTCCTAGACAAAAAAATCAGCATGTAACATAATCAGGGGTTTTAACATATCAAATGATGAAATTCTTTGTGTTTTTCAAAGAAAAATAAACAAAGGTCCTTCCATTATTGGAACTTTTCAAATATACAGGTAATAAGATATACATGTATATCAAAGATCAAAACTACTTTGCGTACGTATGTCCTTAATACATTCGCTTACAGTAAGTGAAATAAACCTAAAAATAAAGGAATAAACAATTTTTTTAAAGCAATGAAATCACAATTCTATATAGACGACACCAAACTGCTCACTGCCAACTGCTCAGTGCTTACTGCCAACTGCCACTGCTCATTGCCTGTTTTGTTGTCTTTAATATCTTTAATACGCATGCTTGATTAAACCCTATGATAGCAAGAATATTACATTTATAACAAAAATCGGCGGATTCAGTAATTTTTAAACGATGAAAGCGAATTAAGAAGGAATACATTGGATGAGAGAGTTTGATACCAAACATCTAATTCTACTGGATCATATCAACATTTTTAGGTCATTGATTGCTTATTATAATATTGATATATAATATTTGATAAAGCCCATTTAGCTCATTTTTGTAAGTGAAAGAACATTTTTTTGCGTTTTAACCTACGGAGTAATCAGTGACAGTAAGCAATTGGCTGTCCCACATGTAATTTCATAACCCGAATTCTTTTAAACTAGGAAAATGAGCTCGGTGGGCTTTCGTTATAATAGGTTCATAGAGGACCTAATTTTTTTTTTTTTTTCGGAGGGAGGGGGCATGTAATGATCACTAGTTATTAAATATTTACCCTTTTCCTTTTTTAAAAAAAAAAGTTTTCGTAAGTGTGTATGATCAGAGACGTATATTCATTATATTAGTATGCATATGGATAAATGTATGTAGTATTTACGTGCCCTTTATCATGTTTATGAGATTTAATTAAATGTATCAGAAAAATCAAATTCTCATGCTGCGCTTCAAGCAGGAATAAGAAGTATTTACAACTTAATGAGACCTTATATGTGATAATTATGTTAAAATTGACAATATATTAATTTTTATTACTTTGATGTACAATTATACAATAAGTTCAAATATGAATCGGGTTCGCTGTCCGTTATATTAAATTTACCAAACAGCGCGGGAAGAAGTGTCAGATTGCAAGAAAAGAGAAGAAAGAAAAGAAAACACTGAAGTAAGACTTTGCAATAAAGTATTTATTTATTTATTCTGAAAAAGTTGTGTTTTTAAGTATATACTGAAAGTATTATCAGTTATTGTGCAAACTTAAATGCTTCGACTGGCATTTCAACCACTGACCTAACAAACAGTGAAAAACGTGTACGTAGGCCCATCTCCAACATAACCAGCTTGGCAAGCAAAAAGGTCCTAGTCATTAGTGTATCTAAAGAGTAAAATACAATTTCACTCATCCCAAGGTAACACCTTCAAACATACACTAATATGTTGACGGTGCGACCGTTAGGGCGAGCGCAGATACTTTTATAAACTGTATTTAGCCCCGTCTCTTCAAACCGCTCGTGACATTTGGTATCTGACGTCACATGACGTCGTATGTAAGTTGCATTACTAGCCTTAGTACATAAGTCCTCGAACCGCTTCATGCTTCACCCGA